TATCTCCAATCATCGGCTGAACAGAGATAAGAGCTGTTTCCCAATGGAAAACTCTTTGTATTCAGTCAGAAGTTAATCAGAAATAACACCTGTTTCCACCTGAACAGCTCTTGTCTCCAATCCAAAACTCCTTGATGTAGGATTTAGGGGCCATACTTGTAAATGTCACCTTATGTTATCAAAATGAGAACTAGCCATAAGGTACTTTTAAAAAAAATGCTCTACAATACGTGCTTTTTGCACAGAAAATGTGGGGTTCCATTCCTCCAAAAACTTATTGGCTGTGCAAAATGCAACAATGTTACTCAGAGAACAGTGGCCAGAATTCTGTATCAACTACTTTGACTGCATCTGCACTGGAGCAATAATGCATTTTGGCACTGCTTTTGCTGTCATGAATCAGTACTATGGAATCCTGGGATTTCTGGTTTTGTGAGCGATTTAACCTTTTCTGTAAGAGAGCTGCGATTCCATACAATGGAGCCACAGCAGTTAAAGCCGTGAGAAACTGCATTATTTCTGCAGCCGTGCTAAGTATCCTAAGACAAAATATTGACTAAGAGCCTTATCACATGAGAAAAGAAAGTTGAAACAATGTGGAAGAGTACCAGCTTTCTCTGTGCCTCTGCACATGCCATCACAGCACTTCCATTATCTTCCTGAGGGAGGCAATCATAAAAGTATGCCTTTTGTCACGCTGGAAAAAAAATTATTTGACAAAAGGCTCACTTTTATGACCATCTCCCTGGGGAAGGAGAATGGAAGTACTATGCATGAGGCATGCAGAGAAGCATGGAGAAATCCACTATTCTCCTACTTCATTTCATCTTTCTTTTTTCATGCAATAAGGCTCCAAGCAGCAATCATACATATGAAACAGTGACAGATGAGTGTATGTAAGTAACTGTTCCTTATTCACAATTGCTACACATACCTTTATTGCATTAGAAACAAACCTGGCAGGAAAACAGAGAAAAGAAGCTTTCTCTTTTTGTCTCTGTCTGACATCCAAGCACTTTCATTCTCTTCCAGTTGTAAAAGTGTGGGAGAGAGTTGTAAAAGTATCCCTTTTGCCAAGCTGGAAAAATCCGTTTGGCAAAAGGGACATTTTTCCCACACTCTTCCATGTGTTTATGACTGGAAGAGAACAAAAGTGCTTCCACCTTATGCAGAGACAGAAAGCTAAATGTGCTTCCTCCCATTTGCCTGCAGAGTTTGTTAATAATGCAACAAGGCTCCTAGTCAAAAATTGTGACACTTATTGCCATGATCTTAACTCACTCTGACCCTGCAGTGAGCTATTTTATGGGGCATCAGCTGCCTGGGGAGAAGGACGTCTGTTTTAGGGGTAGGCAAACTCGGCCCTTTCAGGGATTTTGGACTTCAGCTCCCAGAAGCCTCAGCCATGTTGGCCAATAGTCTGGGATTCTGGGAGCTGAAGTCCCTCAGCCCTTAAAGGGGACAGTTTGCCTACCCCTGCATGAGGGAATGATGGTTTCATGAAGTGGGTTGGGCCCAGAGACATTACTTAATTCAGTATACTTAACCAGGGTTCATCTACATAAAGGGAAAAATGTGTTCACCACAAACCTGGTGCAATCAGTTAAGACAACATACAGCCACTTCCTCAGCAAAACCACTTCTTTTAGCCTTTAATTCAGCTTAAGAAATCTTGTAGGTTACTCTGAAACTTCCAAGAAACTCCAGTGTGACCTTGGTGTTTTTGAAGTGTGGACAGCTGGATAGGGTTGAATTTGGGATGGAGTCCTAGAGTTGGAAGAGACTACAAGGGCCATCCAGTCCAATGACATTCAGCCATGCAGGAACTCACAATCAAAGCACACACACACCCCCAACAGATGGCTGTCCAGCCTCTGTTTAAAGACCTCCAAAAAGCAAACTCCACCAGTTCCACTGTCAAAGAGCTCTCACTGTCAGAAAGTTCCTCCTAATGTTGAGGTAGAATCTCTTTTCCTGTAGCTTGTATCTGTTGTTCCGAGTCCTATTCTCTGGAGCAGCAGAAAAGAAGCTTGTTCCCTCCTCAATATGACATCCCTTCAAATATTTAAAGAGGGCTATCATATCCCCTCTTAACCATCTCTTCTCCAGGTGAAACATCCCCAGTTCCCTAAGTCGTTCCTCATAGGGCTTTATGGTTTCCAGACCCTTCACCATTTTAGTTGACCTCCTCTGGACATGCTCCAGCTTCTCAACATCCTTTTTTGAATCCTGGTGCCTGGAACTGGACACAGGATTATTCCAGGTGAGGCCTGACCAAAGCAGAATGGAGTGGTACTATGACTTCCCTCAATATAAACACTATACTCCTATTAATGCAGCCTAGAATTGCATCGGCTTTTTAAGCTACTGCATCACACTGTTGACTCATGTTCAACTTGTGGTC